GCCGTAATACTTAGCGCTCCAACGAGAGAGAAACGTGGAAGGGTGGTGGTGAACAAGTTGAAGGGTTGATAAAGGTTAGAATTCTACAATAAGGTAAAAATCCAACGACGAAGGGAATAATACTTTTTTTTTTTTTTTTTTTTTTTTTTTTTTTTTCCCTCGTATATTTTCTATGGATAAAAATTTTCTTTCATCCTAGATTCGATCTTATATTCCTTTTTGAAATTATATTAATTGTAATACGAACAATATAATTGTTTTCTTCGTATAAAATGTCAATCTTTATTATAGTTGAAAAGATTTGATTCGAGCCTAAGATAAAATTATACGTTACCTTGGTGATAAGATGAGTGAAAGGTCAAGATATAAGTAATGTTTCTCACGTTGATATTTTTTTTTCTTTTTTTTTTTTGTTTTGTTTTTTTTTTTTTATAGATAATATATCTAGGAGAATTCATTAGCATATCTAGCTTAGGATTAGATTTCACTCTTATTAGGAAATATATTTTTAATTTTGTTATAATATCGTTCGAATATATGTATAAACTTCGTCATATCATTTAATTACTTTCCCATAACTTTATATATATACAATATATAGAAGGGATTTAAAGGAATAAATTGTCGTAAATTAAAAAATTTTAAAGATGTGTTTTAAAGAAGATAACGAGAACAAAATTATTTGTACGAATGATCGGAATGATTCGAAGAGACACGTTGAAATTGAAATTTCAATTTACTCGTCACGTTGTCGGTATAAATATATAATATTATCTCAATGTTATATTATTTTTCTTTTCTTTCTAAAGGAAAAAAGAAAGAAAGAAAAGAAGAACACGAAAGATTTCCAATCGGTAATACGAGTGTCGCGATAGATAATGGCGTTACGATTATGTTGCAGAATACTTGCGTCAATTCAACCGTGGACGCATTTTCGCGCTTACAGATGAGTTGTCTCTATTTCGAACGGGTTCCTTATCTGAATGAATTATTAACTCGTCGGCGCGTCGGCCAATGGAATTTCCATTTAAACCAGACTCCTTCGAACCAACCCTTAACTTGGCGTCCTTGGGAATAAAGAACGATCGAGACACGATATCGTTGGAACGCGTCGATATTCTCTCTCTCTCTCTTTTTGTCTCTATATCTCTTTTATATAGTTAGAGAACAGAGCATGCCAAGAAACCCTCGCGACCGCGAGCTGTCTTGAGATATATCGTTGGAGAATATAAACCACTTTCGAAGTCAAGCTTGGTCGCTGCTCATTGTCGCACCTTCGATAACGAGAGAGTGGGCCTTCTCTTTTCCAGCTGTTCGATATATATATATATATACATATCTTTCTTTCTCATCTAATAGTTAAACACATGTTCCATGTACAGAATCTAACTTGGTATGTAACTTCGAGGACACATAAGGTATTATACATATATCACGTGGTGAAAAATATTTATAAAAATGTTAAATGATAATTAAATTTCTTATTTTATATAATAATATATTTATATTAATAATTATAATATGTTATAATATAATTTATAATATTATTATATTATATTGTATTATATATATATATATATTAATATACATTAATTTATTTTTTAGAGATTCGTAGATGAGTGAATGATAAAATTCATTAAAAAAAAAAAACAAAACAAAAAAAATAAATAAACAATACCATTTTTTAATGTTCCAATAACATTGATATATTTTTAGATAGAATTGACGCGTAAACGATTAGAATCCATCATTATACACCCGCTATAAATGTTATCGCTATATATATATATATATATATATATATATATATATATATATATATATATATAAGTAAATACTTACACGTTGGTACGTGTTTATATTATACATACATAAGTAGAGTGCGAATAAAATTATTCATGGAAAACGTGATAGTTGCGATCGTCTCGAATGCGCGCACACGCGAGATCAGCGACCGTCGGTGAGTACCGACTTAATCGATCGTACGGGAATGCAGCTACTGCGTCGCGGCTACACGGTGCCCCTTTGATTTATCGTATGTGAGAACGATGCAAACAAAAGTCGACCTATGGATTTTCTATTGGAACACACGTATTCCGCACACGGACAAAGGATTTTCTATCTCTCTTTTTTTTTTTTTTTTTTCTTTTTCTCTAACGGATCTAGTAAAAGAGAAGAAGTGGATAGAAGGGGATAAAAGAGGAAAGGGTTTTCTTCTTCGAATCATATCGTTTATTCTAACGCGAAAGCGCCAAAGATTATCGGAACTTTGGTAGATCTCTTTCTCGTTTGAAATCCTTTCAAAAGTGAAAGAAAGAAAGAAAGAGAGAGGGAGAGAGAGAGAGAGAGAGAGAAAGAGAAAAAGAGGAAAGTCTTCGGTATCTAAGTTAACCTGGTACTTGCTATAAGATGAAGATAAATCATCGTAAATATATCCGACATTTACATACACTTACACAAAGAGAAAGAGAGAGAGAGAGAAAGAGAGAGAGAGAGAAAGAGAGAGAGAGATGTTAATAGTGTTAGTAATAGTAATAATAGTAGTAGTAAGAGTAGTAGTAGTAGTAGTCGATGGTGGTAGCTCTGATGCTTATGTAAGCCGATATCTGGTATCGCGTCAAATAGAATCGTGTTTTATTTCACTGCCATATCTACGACATGGATTCGAATGTTTCGAATGTTATGAAAAATATACATCGCCACGGGGGGAGATACATAAATGCATGGGAAAATGTTGCCACTTGACCGATTCAATTTATCGACTCTCTCCCCTCTCCTCTCTCCCTCCTCTTGTCCCACTATCGCCGTCCTTTCTCAACCCCCCCTCCCACACCCACCCCCGCCTTTTATAACTACCTTTGGATCTCGAGTACGAGGTTCTTTCGTATATCTCTCTATGTGTATGTGTGTGTGCGTGTGTGTGTGTGTGTGTGTGTGTATGTGTTTGTGTTTTCTAGACGATATTTTCGTGCTGCCGGAGATGTCACGATCTTAGAAACGTTCAGAGCGAATCTTTATAATACGTGTAAAAATATCTATTAGTGTCTCTGCGTGTATGTGCGTTAGTGTAATGTGTATGTGTTGTCTAAATACGTAATGTTTTATACGCACATTGCTAGGGATTTTCTTTTTCCCACCCCTCCTTTTAATTATCTATTTCCAAACGAAAAAATAAAATATAAAACATTAAAATCGAAAGCGACTGGCATCGTAACGTTTATGGTGCATTTTTATGATCATCGGATCGACATAAGTAAATAGTAAGCTTAGATTCGAGATCATCGAGAAAGACGAGGAGGAGAAGTAGTAAGAGAAGGAGAACGACAGACAGAATTATGCGAATCTACGAGAAACTTGTCGCTCGTTCATATAACCAACGAGGAGTATTTCTTTTTTGTTTTTCTTCTTCTTCTTCTTCTTCTTCTTCTTCTTTTTCTTGCGTCGTACACAACGGCGTGAAAAAAGAAAAAGAAAAGAAAAAAAAAAGAAAAAAAAAAATGAAAATAACGATGAAGAAGAGGATTATTTTCAATTTGCAAATATTATTTAACGATATTCTTTTTAACGTTGAAAATAAAAATAAGGCGATAAATGGTAATCGACAGAGTGTATTAATAATTTGTTTTTCTTCAAAGATAAACATACACCTTTGACGACTATAAACTTCGAAGAATATATATACATACATACATATATACATATTTGGATACGTAAGTATCTACGTAGTATTTATAGTAAAGCAGTAAAGCGTAAATAGATTTTCCGAAAAATAATGCACATAATTTTGATATAGAGATGTATATGTAGAAACGGGAATATATAAAGTATATACGTGTAAAGTAGATAACCAACCAACCAAGGATTACTTCCTTGGAATTGGTAAAAAGGTGGTTGAATTTGAGAATAGAGAGAATAAGAGATTTTGCAAAGTTTTTGCCACGTCACTGTGTAATATACCTTTCGACATAATACATACCTACCATACATATCTACATAAGTTACTTACGTAGATATGCATTGGTATAAGTTTGGTATAGTCCACTGATATAGTCTGAGCGTAGGCGTCTTCTATAGATATAATAGATATTTCTGTAAGTAAAGGCTTTGGGAAGAATTGCAAAAGAAACAAGAAAAAAGAAAAAAAAAAAGAAAAGAAAAAAAAAAGAAAAAGAAAAAGAAAAAAGAACAAAGAAGAAAAAAAAGAAGAGTAAAAAGGGCGTGAAAGAAATGGTGGAAAGAAAACGAAAAGAAGAAGAAAAATAAAAAAAAAAAAGAAAGGTACTAAAACGGTAGACTTGGTATATACATATATATATATATATATATATATATATATATATATATATATAAAGTGAGAGAGATAGGTATATACTACCTATGGAGAGATACGCATAGAAATTGGCGATGCTTTGACTATGCTACCTGATAAGCGACGACTAAGCTATTTCTGTTCTTTAACGTGTATAAGGATATACGTAGGTGCTTCTGGCGAACGTAAAACATCCTTTGAGGCTTAAGCTCGTCTATCCGTTCGCGAGCAAAGGAGTGCCGATAAAATAGAGAGAGAGAGCGAGAGAGAGAGAGAGAGAGAGAGAGAGAGAAAGAAAGAGAAAATCTTGCTCGCGTAAAGATAACTTCTACGATATGCTAAACGCGAGGATTTAAAGACTACACTTTGCTGCTGTTGCTGTTGCTGCTATTGCTGTTTGCTGCTGATCCAAAGTATCTTTTCGCTTTTACGGAAGGAAGAAGTGGTATATTAAGAAAAATACGTTGGTTCGTATTTTATAAATCTTCGATATCTCGAAGAATTTCAAAAAAAAAAAAAAAAAAAAAAAAAAAAGAAAAGAACCGAAAAAAAATGAAAGAAATAAAATATAATGACGTTTTGAAGACTGTAAAAATTTTAATAGGATATCGAACGATATTTCGTACATATATATATGTAATAGTTGTATTAAGAATTAAATAGATGAAAGAAGAAAGTGAGAAAGACTTACCGAGGCAAGTGATAGCATGATCGGCCGGTGGTCTAAGTACATTTCGAGCCCAGGCTGCCCTTAATACTTCGAGGGCACAGGGTGGCCCACCGACCATTAATACACCCGGCGACACGTGACCCTTATACCTGAGCTGTCTCGTTGCGTCGACGAGTGCTGCGTTCCACCAACATTTTGAATTTGCTTCCAAGAAACTCTGAAATTTCAACATATCTTTATATATATATAAAAAAAAATATATATATAAAATATATATATATATATATAAAATATATATATATATATGTAAAGGGAGAATATAATAGAGTCATCAAGATCATCGAAATCATTATTGGGTTAATCTAGCTTACGAATTTAATGATAGTAAAAAGGGGAATAAAGAAATTTTCTTCCTTGTTCATAGCTCAAGTAGACGAACACTTTCCATGCGGTTAGATAGAATCTTACGATTTATCCCCCATGAAATATGGCCAAGTCGTTAAGTGTTTACCATTTATACGGGGCTGTTTAGTATCGTCCCACCCTCGTCGTAACCTCCAAAGAAACTATCTACGACCCTCATCGTACTTTCGTCGAACTCTGGTTTCACTGCTCTCATATCTACCTATATACTCATATTGTATATATACCGTATATAGTATGCGCGCGCGTGCCCGTACAGATATATATATATATATATATATATATATATTGCGTTTAAGTGTATATAAGTAAATTTCTATGGGGAAATCTTTCTCGAATAAAAGGTAGACGAATACTTGTGAACGAATGACTTTTTCAGGATTTTTCTTTTTTTTTTCCCCTAGCTTTTCCCTACTTTCCCCTCCTTCTCTACTACTCCTCCTCCTTTTCGTCGTCCTCCTCCCCCTTTTTATTACTCTCGTCCTCATTCATCCGTCCCCTTTCTCTACACTAATGCATGATCGTGAAATTAGTGGGAGAAACGTTCGAATCGATCGGCTTTACGAGTTATGTCGATTTACACCATTCTAAGTGCCGCCTTGTCCATCTAACGTCGTACTACATATGTATCGTACTATATACATAAACGTACGTACGTACGTATATACATACCATACATATATTCGTTCTCAGTGGGAGATCAACACTCATGCTGAGATACGACGATAGAATTTAATACGAATCTTTTGCTTTCTTTTTCCTTTTTTTTTTTTTTTTTTTTTGTTAGTTTCTTCTTTCTTTCTTTCTTTCTTTCTTTCATTCTTTCCTGCCTTTTTCCTCTTTATTTTTTTTTCTTTTTCTTTTTTCTTCTTTTTTTTTTTTTTTTTTTTTTTTTTTTTTTTATAACTTCGCTTCGTGAGAGCTATCATCTTTTCTTCTTTTATCTTTTATTTCCTCTTTTACGAGCGTCAGGACGAACACAAATGACTCGATTAATTCTCAATAGAAATATTAATATATTATATATATATATATATATATATGTGTGTGTGTGTGTGTGTGTGTATGTGTGTATATGTACAAAGTCAACTTTGATCGAGATATTCTTATGTTCATAAATGTTCACATATGTTTCTATATACGATATATGAATATTCAATATACATATGTATGTATGTATGTATGTACGTACAATATTAATATATATCGATGATAAATATTAATAAAAGGAAAATATGTGAGCGAGCGCACGCATGTGTGTAAAATTGAGCGCGTGCGAGCGCCCATGTTACGTTATATTAAAGTTAATTTATATGATAAGCAATTTTACGTAAGGCCGGATCGAAACGATTGGTTAATAAATGTTCGAGGGATGTGTTCGAGGGACGTGTCCGAGAGATTAAATAAAAATCTTACAAGATGTGTCTCGGAATTTTTTTTCTTTTATCTTCGTTACTTTCTTTTCTTTTTTCTTTTTTTTTTTTGACTTTCTTATTCGCACACACACACACACACACATACACAAATACTTACATATTTGCATATATAGACAAATACGGGCATGCATAAATAATACGATGGGGGAGGAAGAACATCGAACGTTCGTTTCTTTCGGGTGATGGTGATAGTGGTGATGGTGGTGGGGGGAGAGGGAAGAACAAAAAAAGTACAAATAAAAAGAGAATAAAAAAAAAAGAAATGAAGAGAGAGAGAGAGAGAGAGAGAGAAGGAAGAACAACGCATAGGGCGGCAGGATCTTCTTTTTTTCTTCTTCTTTTATGTTTATCGTTTTACTCCTATCAAGGATGTGTTTTCTCTTGCTCCGTACGATGATTAAAGCACAACGTTCATTATTCATGCGCACGCGGATGTAAATACCGAGTACGATCGGCTTGTCTACGATCATAGAAAGAGAAAGAGAAAGAGATAGAGAGAGAGAGAGGATCAGAGAGAGGATACGTTTCTTATACAGCAGCAGTACCAGTACCGGTAACAGCAACAGCAGCAACAGCAAGTTCAAAACGTGAAATGGATCCGTTATTTTAACTCAGCAGTTTGCTTTTCTCTTTCCGCAAAATTTTCCGCGATCGAGCAAATTCAAGAGAACCAATTCTACCCTCTCTTCTTTAGAAATACAACTACCCCAACCAACCTTAACCATCCCATACCTTTCTCGCTTATCCCCTTATTTCATCTCTTTCTTTTCTATTTCTCTCTCCCCTGTTCCTTTTTTTTCCTTCTCTTTTTTTTTCCTTCTCTCCCTCTTTTATTCTTCTTCGTTCCCCCAGGCTCGTTGGCGGCTGCACCTGACAGAACATTTTTCTTCCACGAACAGTCACGACTTCCGAACGTTCTTCTATCATCCATGAAAACGTGAGAGAACTCCAGTTAGCCAGATTTTGAGTTTCGTAGTTGTCCTATGGCATATGGTTCTCTCTTTGTTATGGCTTTTTCACTTTGTGTGCGTATATGTGCGAGCGATAGAATGTGAAAGTGTACGAGGGTATCTGATTGTGTCTGTGCTCACCGACCGTAAAGTTTCCTTCGATGGATCCGAATTTAAAAAAGGAAAGAACATCTCACGCACTCGTGCCGTTCCTCGAAATCTCTATGGTATTAAAGATACACAAAGAGAAGTCGAAAGTTTCTTTCGACGTTTTGGAAACTCATGAATATGAGTTCCTTTTATAGTATTTTTCCTTTTTTTTTTTCTTCTTTTTTTTTTGCCTTCTTCCTTTTTCTTTTTCTTTTCTTCTTTTTGTTTTCTTCTTCGAAGAGAGATCGTGATACCTTTTAATCCGTGTTCTATTCGCTTACTCACGTACTCGTTTCATCCGTCAACTTTAATTATCGTCATTAAATTCTTAGAAAGTTGATTTTTTTCCATTTGAAAGATCGATAATAGAATTCATTCATTCGTAGGACTAGTTAATTTACTTGTAATTTATATGAATCATTTACACGTATTCTAATTTATATATATATATATATATATATATATATATATATATATATATATATAAATAAATTCTTTTTTCTTTTTTTGTTTTTTCTTCTAAGCTTTGCCCGTCACAAAAAATTTTCATTTTTCCCTTGGAAAAAAAGAAAAAAAAAATCATTATTCAGAATTTATTATATCAAGTTATTATTTATGCATAGTTTATACGATAATACATACTGTATACAAATGTAAATATAAATATCTATAGATTCTAAACTTTTATAGTATAATAGTTTATCTTCAAATATTTTTTTTTTCTTTTTTTTTAGTGTAAACTAAAATTCATTCATAAAATTGTAGCTCAAACTTTATATATAAATATATACATAATTAATAAATATAGATCATTTATAAAATATGAAATATTGTATCTTCGAATATATATATATATATATATATATATATATATATATATATATAATTTTTTTTTTCTATTTGTTTTTAAAATGAAATCGAGAGACTATAACTCATCCAGAAAATTATTGTCTACACATACCTTATTGTACATCCTACACATACACACATACACACATATATATATATATACACATAGTTATAAATATAGGTCCTTGATGTCAAGTGAACGAACGAATGAGTGATTCGAAATGCAATGAACGCCCTTTTCAAGAGGGGAAATCTGTCCTGCTTCAGTGCACAGGCACAAAACGGGTACGCTTGTGTCGTTCGCAGGCAGTCTGGTCCAGATCGATAATGGGCATAATTTGCAGGGAGCCGTGCGGTTCCGCAGTGCGGAAGCGCGAGCCCGCCTCTTCATCTTCGCGCATAACCAACCACTTTGCCGAATAAATTCTTTTTTTTTTGTCGGCTAAAACGTTATCGCCTTTTCTTGTTCGTTAAAAAGATAACGAACCCTAACTAAACCTTTTGTTATAGCAAATTTTCTTCTTACTTATTCTTTTTTTTCTTTCTTTCTTTCTTTTTTTCTTTTTCTTTTTTTTTCCCCCTCATTTGCGTTATTTTCTTCATCTTATGCGATCTACACGAAATATCTGTTTTTTTTTTTGCATAGATTTAAAAAAAAAATCTTTTTCCTTCTGCAAATCATTGGGCATGTTTTTCCTTTGGGATTTCTTTTTTTTTCTGTTCTTTTGTGTTTTTTTTTTGCGAATCACTGCAGTGGCTTTTTTTTTTTTTTTTTTTTTTTTTTTTTTTTTTTTTTTTTTTTTTTTTTTTACAAATTTACCTTTTCTTTCATGAATCTCGAATTTTTTATCTTTTGTAGATCCAATCGATGCAATATCGTTACTTCGATTTCAATGAGTATTCTTTACTTTGCAGGAAGCATAGATTTTCGAAATAGTTTCCTTTCTTTTTTTTTTTTTTTTTTTTTTCTTTTAACCAAGATATCGAATTTTTTTTTTATCTTTTCCATATTCTCCATTTGTATTTGATCCATTGATATCGTAATATCGTTCCTTCGTTTTCGACGATTATTCTGATCCATTTACGGCATAGATTTTAGAAAATAATTTTAGAAATGCGAATTAACAAAATTTTCTTGTTTGAAATTTTATAAAGGTTAAAAAATTCTCAAGATATCCGAAGATTATTATCATCGATTGATCGATCGACCGAACGAACGAACGAACGAACGAACAAACGATCGTACGATCGGTCGATCTACAAACGAACCCGATCATTTCGAACGAGTGAAACCTTTTGATTACATCAAGTTTCTTCTTCTTCGTTTGCAAGAATCCCAAAGTGTGATGGCAATTCGGTCCAGCGAACCAGATCGATTTCACGAGATCTCTTACCTTCCGCTATCTCTT